TAACTGCATAGAAGTTGCAAATATTTTTCTCATTTGTCTATACTTGTTTATGGTGTTCATATCTATGTACATTTTAATGTGTTCAGATTTACCAGCCTTTCCCCCTGATTGCTTCAGTATTTTGAGTCATAATTAGAAAAGTTTTCATATTAGATTACAAAGGACTTCATGGATGTTTTCTTCCTATACCTCTATGATTTTATTTTTTTATATTTAAATCTCGGAATTATTTGGAATTTTCCTGATAATATGGTATGAGGGATGGATTGAATTTTATCTTTTTCTGTATGGCTATCCAGCTGTCCCAGTACCACTTTTGCCCATTTATTTTAGATTAATCTTTATTCTGTACTAAATATCCATATACTATAAAGTTTATTTCTTGATTTTTCGTTTTGTTCCACTGATCGGTCTGCTTTTTTATGCATCAGCACCATGCTTTTTTTTTTACTCCTCACCCGAGGATATGTTTATTTTTTTTAGATAGAGAGGAAGGGAGAAAGGCGACACACACACACACACACACACACACACACACACACACACACATCCATCAATGTGAGAGAGAAACATCGGTCGGTTGCCTCTCAAATGTACCCCAACCAGAGACCAAACTCAACCTAGGTGTGTGCTCTGACAGGGAATCGAACCCTGGACCGTTCAGTGTACAGGACGACACGCCAATCAGCTGAGTTACACCAGCCAGGGCAGTATCGTGCTATCTTAATTATAGTCTTATGTTTCAGTATCTAACATTCCCCTCCACTTTTATTTTTGTTTTTCCAAATTAACTTTATAATCAGTTTGTCTAAGATATCAACTTGTCTATTTTCCGAACAGATGGTATTTTATTGGGATTATGTTAAAAGTATACATGCAAAGAAATTTACATTTAAAGTCATTTGTTTACTTATTGTGGTAAAACACATAACAAAATTTATCATTTTAACTATTGTTAAGTATACAGTACAGAAGGCATTGATGTTGAATCTTTCTAATATGATATGTTGAATACCTTTCCCATATATTTCTATCCACTGGTATTATTTTTATTTTTGGTAATTTGTTGTTTTAAGCTTGGGCTCTTAGCTAGATAAAGTTAGCCCCCCATTTGAAGAGTTTATATTATGTATGTGCAGGTGCTTGTTAATAGAGAGTTTTATTTGATAATGTGCTGACTGAATTGATAGTTATAGTATTCATAATGATCTTTGAGTGTTGTTAAATCTTTTATTGGGGAACTGAAGTAGAGGCCAGTTAATCCTAAAGCACTTTTCCCATCTGGAGAGGCAGTGCGCTGGAATGGCCAATGGCCTGGACTTGAGTCACATGGCCTGGGTTTGAATCCCAGCACTGCAACTTGGTAGCTATGTGACATTGAACAAGGGCCTCATTTTTCCCATCTCAGATTACCTCATGTTAATAATTGTGCATATGTGTTATAGGGCTGTCTATAGATTTCATGAATAAAATATGTAGAGTGCTTCAGACAGAACCTGGAATGTTATAACACTTATGTGTTTTGTTTAAATGATGATATAGTACGAAGAAATGTGGGAAATTAATTGGATAGGTTGATTGTTTTATAAAATTTAAAAGTATTAATCCTCTCCCTTTTTTTTCCTGTTTAGGTGTGAAATGTTTCTCTTATTCTACAAGTGTGATCAGCCTTACATTTCTACCATACATTTTTGCCCAAAATAATGTTGTATTTGGAAGTCTGCCTTTGCAAATCTTATTTTATGGCATCATAGGAAGCTTTACACTGATCACTCCAGTCCTGCTTCACTTAGTTACAAAAGGCTATGTCATTCGGTTGTACCATGAGGCCACGACAGATACTTACAAAGCCATTACTTACAATGTTTTGCTTTCAGAAACCAGTACTGTGTTTCAACAGAATGATGTGAAGATTCCAAGCAGCACACATCTGTTTACCACATTTTATGCTAAAACAAAATCACTGTTAGTTAATCCAGGTCTCTTTCCAAAACCCCAAAGACTATGACCATCTAATGGGTTATGACAAACCATTCACTTTTGATATGGAAGAAGCCAGTGAAAAGAAACAGCTTGAAGATGAGAAATGAGTCTGTTGTTTTTATGTTTGTGCTTAAATGTGATTTATTTTCCCATGTATAATAATAAAATTGCCTTTACTTTTGTTTTCTATTAGTGATTGTTAAAAAATTGAAACTGTAATAAACAACTTTTGATTAATTTTCAGATAATTATATTCCCTCATAATAACAAGGTATGCTTGAAAAACAAAATGCAATATTCCACCATTTGTGTTTTGAAAAAGGTGTGGAAATACATGTACATGCTGGCATATGCATGGATAATGAATAAGTGTGGTTGTCTTTCAGCTGGGAATTGGATATCAGGCTCATAGGGGGGTTATTTTTCCTTTGTGTTTGGATTTTTTTAAGTATAGATACAATCTTTCCTCACATTAAAAACTTTAAAAAAATTTACATGTTCTGGAAAGCAGTGTGAATCTGCTTCCTTTGGTCACAGCTTGTTACCTCGGTTCTCTGACAGGGCTGCCTGTAATAAGGCTCTCCATGTGGTAAGCTGTGGGGAAATGGTGCCCTCAGCAGTGTCTTCTGTGGTCCCTCACGCACTCCTTCCTTGGTGCATCCTATCAGTAGGAAAAGAACTTGCACTAAGGTGGATAGTACTTTCATAAATAGCGATCTCTGCTAACTTACTAAGTATTGGCATTTTAAGATTTTACCTCTAATTGTAAAACAAAAGTTGGTTCCTGTGAAGGATTTTCAGCCAGGAGCAAAAGAGCTCAAACCATTTAGATCTGTAGATACTTAAGTGCCTAGTGCAGTGATGGCGAACCTTTTGAGCTCAGCGTGTCAGCATTTTGAAAACCCTAACTTAACTCTGCTGCTGTGTCACATATAGAAATTTTTTGATATTTGCAACCATAGTAAAACAAAGACTTATATTTTTGATATTTATTTTATATATTTAAGTGCCATTTAACAAAGAAAAATCAACCAAAAAATGAGTTCGCGTGTCACCTCTGACACGTGTGTCGTAGGTTCACCATCACTAGCCTAGTGTATGCTAGGTACTGTGCTAATTGCCAGAGTCACAGTTAACAACACCCAGACTGCATGGAGCTACCTAATGTCTTACTGCCTGCCAAGATGGTGAGGCTAATCTTCACGCCTTGCCTCTATAAGGGAGGTTGATGGGGAAGCAGCAGGGCCATCACTAGTTCATAGGGATGATCAAGTCTGAAACTGCTAGCTTATAGCTTTAGATAGAAAAGAGCATTTTTGTGACACCCAGAGCCTGCCTTCTGCTAGGTCCTAGGATCTGCCAGCTTAACCTGCAGAGAGCGGGCTCTAGGGTCTCAGAAAGATAAGCTGGTTACATCTCTTTGCAAGTTGGGTCTCTGCCTGCCTGTTCTGCCCTGTGTTACTTAGGTCTATTCTTGTTGCTGTCTTAGCAGTTAATGTGATGTATATCTTTTTGTTGTAAATCCTCACCCAAGGATATTTTTCCATTGCTTTTAGAGTGGAAGGAAGGGAGGAGGGAGCAGGGGAGAGAGAAACTTTGATGTGAGAAACATTGGCTGCCTCTAGCATGTCTCCTACTGGGGATCAAGCCTGCAACCCGGGTATGTGCCCTGACTTAGGATATAACCGGAGACCTTTTGGTGCATGGGACAATGCTCAATCAATCAACTGAGCCACACTGACCAGGGCTAAACACATTTTTAAATTATAGTAAAATGTATAACAAAAATTTACCATCTTAACCAATTTTAAGTGTGCAGTTTAGTACAATTCAGTATAGTGTTAACTATATTTACATTGCTGTGCAACAGATGTCTAGAACGTTTTTATCTTGCAAACCTGAAACTTAATATCTATTGAACAACTCCCCATATCCTCCTCTCCCGTGGATTTGTGCCTTTAAAAAAAAATGGAAGCCCAGCCGGTGTGGCTCAATGGTTGAGCATTGACCTATGAACCAGGAGATCACGGTTCGATTCCCTGTCAGGCATATGCCTGGGGTTGTGGGCTTGATCCTCAAGATGGGGCATGCAGGAGGCAGCCGACTAATGATTCTCATCATTGATGTTTCTATTTCTCCCTCTTCCTCTCTGAAATCAATAAAAAAATTTTTTTAAAGTAATTTAAAAGAAAAGGAAAGTTGCAAAACTGCCTGAGCAGCAAGACCTTCTTCCGGGGCTGTTTGAGAAAGCTCACTCTCATTAAGGGCCTGCAAGTGCAATCCTATGACTTCAGCAGAGCTTTTGACCTACAAGGAGTTTTCCCTCATTCTTGTCCTGGGTCTGAGCCCTGAACTTCAGGGAAACTCCTCAATTCGGATCAATCATTGCTTATATTTTGAAGAGTTACTTTTGTGAATTAAAATTTCTTCAGATTTCATTTCCAACTCAGGTTAAGTGTTTTCATAGAGAAATTCTGTGTTTGTTACACTAAACCCACATGTACAACAAATACCTCTATTAAATAGTTTAAAATGTAAAAAAAAAAAAAAAAGGAAAGTCACACAGTTCTTTTTTTTAAAATATATTTTATTGATTTTTTACAGAGAGGAAGGGAGAGGGATAGAGAGCTAGAAACGTCCATGAGAGAGAAACATGGATCAGCTGCCCCCTGCACACCTCCTACTGGGGATGTGCCCGCAACCAAGGTACATGCCCTTGACCGGAATCGAACCCGGGACTCTTCAGTCCACAGGCCGACGCTCTAGCCACTGAGCCAAACTGGTCAGGGTGTCACACAGTTCTTGAAACCTTTTACCAACATGTGCTTATGACCACCTAAACTTGTAGATTTTTAGGCCCCAACTCCATGCCATTGTAATCCCAAACTATATCCTATAAATGATTTCAAATAGCAAAGAATCTAAAGGATTAACTTTTTCTGGAATGGAATAAGAATTTTGAAATGAAATTCATGCCATACGTGAAATAGTGGTCATTTTATTATTAGGGCTCAAAATACTTCCTGGAGCTGCAGTTTGCTTAAGGAAGTGCATTCTCAAGCCTGGCGGGGCCCCAGCCCACAAGGCAGACCTACAGCTGATGGACTGTCTGGGGTCTTGTGCAGCCTGGCTCTGCCCCATGGCTGAACTGTTGCTGAGCAGAAATAGTTTGCAGAGGGCTGTTCAGTTCGGATCTATTTGCCCAGTGCTCTGGGCCATGAGAAATTGTGTAAAGAGCCTCTGTGGGAGAATAACAATGTACACGGAAAAGGGGTGTCGTCTGTTGGGATCCTAAAGGAGACCTACAGGCTGGCTTTGTTACTGTTGACTGGGAAATACCTTGTTTTGTGTGTAAAGCTTTGCGCTGTAATTTGCATCAAGTGTTGGAAAAGAGTACATATATTCTAAATCATTTTCTTTTCTCCCCTTGCAGGAAGTGCTCAAATATCACACACACACACACACACACACACACACACACACACACAGAAAGAGGAAACGGATTGGAACTTAGAAGTCATGTGACTGATGACTAAGTTGACTCTTTCCTACTTACTGAAAGGGAAGAAGAGCCTGAGGATGAGTTGCTGGTTCTCCTTGCATTTGTAAAGTTTTGGAGCTATTAAATCATGTTCCCACTTATGCTTTTTTCCACCCTGTTTTCTTCCACGTTGCCTGAACCCGGGGAGCACTGGATCTGCAACTCCTCTGATGTGAGCCTTTGGTATAGCTACTGCGGTAAGTGCACAGCAACAAGTGGTTGTAGTGCCAACTATTTCGAGGGTGTGTTTTCACAGGAACCTCATTCTGCTGAGGTGGGGACACAGGAAGCGTCGTGTGTTCCAGCTGCTGCCGGCAGCAAGAGTGGCGGCTGATGACTTCCCTGTGTGGGTTATCTTGATCCTTCACAGGCCTCACCAGTCTCTAAACTGTTGTTCTTGACCTCCAAGTGCTTCTGTTGTTCCCTGTGGTTAACTGTCTCCACCTTGAGCCTAGCTTCAGATTCCTCCCGGTTTGGGCAGAACTGTCTGCTTCTGAGCTTTTGCCTCCAGCCCCAAGACTAGTTCTTGACAAGGAAGCACAGTCCCAGGTGCCTCCTGGAACGGATTATTGTGGCCAGCGATTTTCAACCGCTGGGCCACAATATTTAAAACACGCGACACCTGGCTATTTAGTCAGGGGCACGGACCTCTTTTCCCTTAGACTGTCAAATAAAAAAGTGACAGCAGCCAACACAACAATAGCCTTTTGGTGTGAATGAATAAGAATTATACCTTCTTTTTCTTTTTTGTCGGATCAGCAAAAAAAAAAAGTACATTTCTTGATGGACTACAGCATTTTAATCTGTAAAATGAAAGTGATTTTAGAACCTATCTGAGGTAAAATTTTTAACACAGAGTCACATAGAAACAGTCTTGACTACTTTTTAAAAAATCAGCCATACCTAATGCTATGGACTGGTCTGATCACTGCCCTACCCAGACCTCTTTTTCTGAAAGCACAGCTTCAGGGCTTGGCCACTGTGTCTATCTTTGGTGCTTTCCACTTCCTTGCTCACCATGGGTTGGATATAATATCAGAGAGGTTGAAAGAGAGGCTTGCCAAAATATTAGTTCTTTGAGATTCTTTTGGGAAAGGGGATTTATGGTTTAACCATTTGGGGGAGAATTACAAATGTCTGTTGAGTTCTGAGAAGTTGTGCAAAGAAGAAACCTATTTAATCTCCAGGTTTATCATTTTATTTTATTTCATCTTTTGAGTGTGTGTTGACTATCGTAAGAAATATACTCTGGCAAACGCTAATAGACATTATTTCCGGGGAGTTAGCATAATTGACAGGTGTGAGAGCAAGACCAAGCTTTGTGGGTTGTGCTGAATTCCCTCTCAACCTGGCTCTGGAATTTCTCCATCCTACAAGATCAGTGTCCATTCCCTCTTCCAAAAGGGCTCCTCCGTCCACTCGGCCTACACGTTGATCATGCCACCTTCTCTGTGCTAAGTTTCAGGGGGCCTTTGTTTATATACCACTTCATATTATAATTAGCTTTTAAGCTCCTAGTATCAATAATTTGATTTGTCTTTTAAAAAATATTTTTATTGCCCTAACCCAGTGGTTGGCAAACTCATTAGTCAACAGAGCCAAATATCAACAGTACAACGATTGAAATTTCTTTTGAGAGCCAAATTTTTTAAACTTAAACTATATAGATAGGTACATTGTTATTAACTTAATTAGGGTACTCCTAAGGCTTAGGAAGAGCCACACTCAAGGGGCCAAAGAGCTGCATGTGGCTCTCGAGCCGCAGTTTGCCGACCACAGCCCTAACCGGTTTGGCTCAGTGGATAGAGTGTCGGCCTGCTGACTGAAGGGTCCCAGGTTCGATTCCTGTCAAGGGCATGTACCTTAGTTGTGGGCACATCCCCAGTAGGGGATGTGCAGGAGGCAGCTGACCAATGTTTCTCTCTCATCAATGTTTCTAACTCTCTATCCCTCTCCCTTCCTCTCTATAAAAAAATCAATAACATACATTTTTAAAAAATATATGTTATTGATTTTTAGAGAAAGGGAGAGGGAGAGAGAGAAACATCAAAATGAGAGTGAGTAATACTTTTAGCGAAAAATAAAAAACAAAAAAACAAAAAACAAAACAAAAAAAAAACAAAATGAGAGTGAATCAATGGGCTGTGTCCTGCACATCCTGACACCCAACCAATTGAGCTGATTTGTCTTTTGATTTTTTTTTTTTAATTTCAGAGAGGAAGAGAGAGGGAGAGGGAGAAACATCAATGATGAGAGAGAATCATTGATCAGCTGCCTCCTGCACATCCTGTACTGAGGATGGAGCCCGCAACCCGGGCATGTGCCCTAACCGGAACCGAACCTGAATCCTTCTGTCCACAGGCTGACGCTCTATTCACTGAGCCAAACCAGGTAGGGCTGTCTTTTTATTAAAAAAAAAATTGTATTGATTTTTAGAGAGTCAGGAAGGGAGTGGGAGCGAGAAAGAAACATTGATTGAGGATCAAGCCTGAAACCTGGCCATGTGCCCTGATTGGTAATCAAACCGTGACTTCCTGGTTCATAAGTCAACCAAAGCTCAACCACTGAGCCACACCAGCTGGGCTAAGCAGATGATTGTACAAATGATTACTTATTCAAGTTCCATACTAGTTTTAGGTCTGTTCCAACTTTCTATTCTTCAGTCCTTTTGGGGACCCCCTCTTGGAAAATTTGGGCATCTGGATGCATGAATTAACCTCTTCCCTCCCGAGTGAAGCTGGAGACTAGAGGATTCTTTTCCTGTCTTTGCTGTGCCAGGCTCAGGGTCTCTGTTGAGAGGGTGTCCTGAATCTCCCCACCAACTTCAGTGAGTCTTCATTCGAGTTCTCCTGGGTCACAGGACACTTTCGATTAGTTTCTGATTTCTCACAAAGGGAATTTGTCCATGAATTGTTGTTGAATTCGAAGTTTGTGGGGGAAAGAAGGGTCTTGGACTTCCTACTCTGCCATCTTGGGACGCTACTCCTCTGGAGAAGGAGATATTTTTTTTTTATATATATATATTTTATTGATTTTTTACAGAGAGGAAGGGAGAGAGATAGAGAGTTAGAAACATCGATGAGAGAGAAACATCGATCAGCTGCCTCCTGCACATCTCCTACTGGGGATGTGCCCGCAACCCAGGTACATGCCCTCGACCGGAATCGAACCTGGGACCTTTCAGTCCGCAGGCCGACGCTCTATCCACTGAGCCAAACCGGTTCCGGCAAGAAGGAGATATTTTTAACCATTATCAGTTTTTCTCATTAAACAATTTTAATACTAAAGGCATCATTTGGAGAGGGGGGGTGAATTTCAGAATATTTTACTTTATTGGAAATAATGCATTGACATTATCTTCATTCTATTTAGATAACATGAAATATCCTATTTCAATAAGAAGTGAACCCTGTGTAGAATTGAAGGGAAGCAAAGGATATTTGCATATTTTCTTCATTCCAAGTAAGTTTTGTAACAAAACCAAAGTTTTGTTAATGTACATCTGTTAAAAGAATTCAAGCGATATCAATGACAAATGATTGTGTTCCAAATGTACATGTATTAGTTTTCTGTTATTATGTAACAAATGACCGCAATCTTAATATCTCAAAACAGTACACATTTACTGTCTCATAGTCTTTGCGTGGTAGTAATCTGGGCGTGGCTTCACCGTGCCTGCTTCAGGATCTCCCACCAGGTTGCAGTCAAGCTGTCTGCCAGGACTGGGGTCTCTCCTGAAGGCTCAATTAGGGAAGGATTCTCTGCAGTTCACATGTGACTTTTGACAGGATTCAGTTCCTGTCTGGCTGCTGGCCTTTTCACCATGGCTTCTTGCTTCATCAAAACCAGCAAAGGGGACAGTCAGCTAACAAGATAGAGGTCACAGTCTTGGGTAGCCTAATCATGGAAGTGCCACTCTATCAACTTGGCTTTATCTATTTGTTAGAAGCAAGTCACTAGGCTCACACTCATGGGGAAGAGATTCCATAATGGTATGGAGGGTAAAAGTGGAAATAATAAGAGACTTCTAACAATCTATTAGGTATTAGTATATCCTTTGTCAGTCATTAGCTATTCAACTGATAAATAAAGTTAGGTTTCCATTAGTTAAAGATCTGTGTATGAGCAAGCCAGGACATTTTTTCCTAAAGGTGACCCCCCTTATAAAAAAAAATAAGATGATGATGGGATAAAAAAAAGACAATGTTTTTTGTTTGTGTTGTCTTGTTTTTCCTCTCTGTGATTTTACTTGTCATCAGCTTAGTAAAAAATAAACTGGGTGATGGTTATAGAATCAGGCTGGACCAAGTGTTTGGGGAAACACAAAAACCTTTATCCTCTGTGGAGAAAAAGGAACACTTGTGCACAGCTGGTGGGAATGCAAACTGGTGCAGCCACTATGGAAGACAGTATGGAGTTTCCTTAAAATCTGGAAATGGAACTCCCATTTGACCCTGTGATCCCACTTCTAGGAATATATCCCAAGAAACCAGAAACACCAATCAGAAAGGATATGTGCACCCATATGTTCATAGCAGCACAATTCACCATAGCTAAGATCTGGAAACAGCCTAAGTGCCCATCAGTAGATGAATGGATTAGAAAACTGTGGTGCATCTACACGATGGAATACTATGCTGCTGTAAAAAAGAAGGAACTCTTACCATTTGCAACAGCATGGATGGAACTGGAGAGCATTATGCTAAGTGAAACAAGCCAGTCAATGAAGGAAAAATACCACATGATCTCACTCATTCATGGATAATAAAGACCATTACAAACTTTTGAACAATAATAGATACAGAGGCAGAGCTGCCTCAAACAGACTGTCAAACTGCAGTGGGAAGGCCAGGGAGGGTTGGGGGGCAGGAGGGAGGGGAGTAAGAGATCAACCGAAGGACTTGTATGCATGCAAATAAGCATAACTAATGGACATAAGACACTGGGGGGTAAGGGAGGGCAGGGGATTGTCAAGGGCGGGGGGCGGGGAAGGACACATATGTAATACCCTTTGTAATACTTTTAGCGAAAAAAAAAATAAAAATTAAAAAACAAAACAAAAACACCTTTATCCTCTCTGACCAGGCAGCTTCACTGTGTGAAGCCCTAGGATCCCAGGACACTTCAGTTCTCGTCATCCTCCTCACCTTTACTGTTTATCATCACCTACAATCTAGCTTGTATTTGGAGCTTATCGTTTACTAAGGGCTTTCACATATGTAAGCTTAGATAAAGATTTCCCTAGTTTTAGTTCTCTAGCTTACAAGAAAGAGGTAGCTGAGAACCCAGAAACAATAGACAATAAACTTGTGCTTTACTATTTCTGAAATTAAGTGTTCAACCTGCACTTGGACACTTGGTTTCTGTATTCATTTAGTCATTGAAAAATGCATAGTATATTTCAAGTATTGTGATAGGTACTGTGAATTCGTTGATAAATAAGACATCCTCTTGACCTTCAAGAATCTTCCAGGGCAATAGGAGGGACAGACCTATAGATACATGGCATGGTAAGTGAAGTGACAGTAAAGAGGCTGAGTGATAACACAGAGCAAAGAGCAATCAACTCTATTTACTCCATTGTCTTGGCCAAGAGTAAAAAATATTTTTATCTCTAAATTTTTGCCTGGCTCTACAATTTCTTCTTCTTTTCTTAGGTTTTGTTTTCTGGTCTATGTGATGTGCTTTACCCCTAGATGTTTGGCAGAAGTGATTTATATGACATAACGAGTGACCTAATCTTCAAGCAAACCTCTTGTCCTTACACACAGGAAGCGAGTTGTATCCTTGCAGATCCAAATAGTAATAATACAATATGGCATTGCTCAGGGTTCTCTGAAAAGCAGATACCAAGAAGGAATTAGGCATATAAGACATTAATCAGGAGGAAATGCTAGTGAACAATAAAGGGAAGAAGATGCCCTAGCAGGCAAGGAGAGGGTTCAGATTGAGGTGCAGATCTGATACCTTTGAAATGAGAGAAGAAAGGAAGGAGAATTTGGTAGCATGGTCATCAGACCAAAATGCATCCCTGAGATCCTGTCAGCCAGGTCAATGGGGAGCCTTAGAGCAAAGATTACCTGTCACACGTGTGCCATGACAGGCAGGAGTAGGCTGCCTTTGTGTCCTTGCAGTGCTCGGTCATTAGCGGAGGACCTGTGGGAGGTTGGCCGCTGGCTGAGATGGATATGAAGGTGCAGCAGCTGGGGGCTGTCTGCCAACTACCTTCCTGCCAGCAGGGTCTTTGGGAGGAAGGTTTGAGTAGGTACCTTTGTGGCCACCACAGATACCCTAATCATTTACTAAGTATGGCATTTATATCATTATGTTAATTTACTAACAAAATAATTATTCAGTTATATTTTTATAGAATTTTGTCATTATGATCTGAGTTTCCCTAGAATATACTAGAATTTCTGTGTAAAGTCTGGGGCCACATTATAGAAGTCAACCTTGTTTTTATGGTGCTATCTCTACTTCTATTCAGTAAGAGCTGTATGTAGAAATTGAATAAAAAATAGATATTATTTATTTTGAGACTTTATAACCTTGCTAGTAAATTATTTGTGTACCATTCGTTGATTGACAAATAAGGCTGGACTATAAACCTCCCTGAAAATTACTTCTGGTAGTTCCTGGTGAGGTCAAAGAAAGTCTTCTTAGTTACCACATGACAGCCACCAGGTTCTTATCTCTCACTCCAACATCCACATTAATATCCCTGGCCTGCTGAGCCATGCAAGTGGTTACCTCACCTTGACTATTTGTCATGTGCCTCACATGACCACAGTGATGTCCAAGGACAAGAAGCTTCTCAAGATGTAGACCACTGAGATATCAAAACAGCACTTCCTTTCTTGGTGTCAGTGGAGACCGGGAACATGCTGTGTTCCATGCAGCAATGAAAGAAGGTCTCTTGTCCTGCCTTGTCCTTGTATACCCCAGCAGTACTGCTATGTGTCTGTCTCAGGAATTTCTCATGAAAACAGCTCTTCAGCTTCTGCCCACATCCATGTTTTTGGAGAGGTTCAGGCTAAAGTCCATGGACTGGACCATGGGACCACAGTTAGAAGCAGACCCTGTTATGTTCTTTATACTCTACCCCATAAGTAGAGAAGTAGGAAGTTTGGTGGTACCTTAGGCTCAGAGTAATGAGGGCCTGCATTAAAACTGTGGCAATGGGCCCTGACTGGTTTGGCTCAGTGGATAGAGCGTTGGCCTGCGGACTGAAGGGTCCCAGGTTCAATTCTGGTCAAGGGCATGTACCTTGGTTGCAGGCACATCCCCAGTGGGGGTTGTTCAGGAGGCAGCTGATGGATGTTCCTCTCTCATCGATGTTTCTAGCTCTTTATCCCTCTCCCTTCCTCTCTCTAAAAAATCAATAAAATATATTTAAAACAACAACAACAACAACAACAACAACTGTGGCAATGGGGCCGAAATGGAGACTAGTAAGATTACTGGGATTAGGAATTCTCGTGCTGATTTGCTGATGAAGATGAGGAAATCGATTTAGGATCTATAGGGTGAGATGACCAACATTTGAATAGAGATATCGAATGCATATATGAGACAGTATTTAGGAGAAAGGTTGAGACTAAAGATGATGATTTAGGAATTAGTATCCTATGTGGCAGAGTAAATATTGAGGAAAACTGAGGATAGAAACCCTAGGTAGGGGAGTCAATGAACTAGACTGAGGAGGAGTCAGAGAGGTTGAAGGACAACCAGAGAGAGTGGGAGCACTGACACCAAACCAAGGAGAGAGTTTTGAGGAGGAGCTGGCAGCTCTGTTACCCACAGTCAAATTCAAGTTAAAGTTGGAAAACTTTTCCTTTGGTTATGGCTACAATGAGCCCTGGTGACCTTATTAGGAAAATATTTTCAATGAGGTGGTGGCTACAATAAACTATTTTCATTATAAAAAAATTGTACATCTTTCCCAGTTGGGCCAACTGGATAATATAAGAATTGAGCAAAATGCATTGTTTACTGGCTTTTCTCACCTTAATTGATAATAGGGAGACCATGAGGAAATAATAAATGGCTCATACACCTAATTTTTAATCAAAAGGTTTAATTTTATCCTCCAAGAAATCTTTCATCAAAACTACTAAAAAGTAGGCATGAGTTGATTATCATTATTTCCTTTCTTTTCTTTGAACTTCCTAGCAGAACTGTAACTACAACAGAAAATTTTATATCTTCATTTGATAGTTTTCTAAAAAAATAATTTTCTCTATTTTTAGGCATAGCATATAATTCTTACTGTGGAATATTCTATTTGATTACAATCCACTAGTTACCCTCTCAAAACTCCAGTTTTCTCATCTACAGAATAAGGATCACAATACCCACATTATAGGTAGTTGTGAAGATTAAATGAAATTATGTTGCAAAAGCACAGGACATATTTTAAGTACATAATAAATATTAATTATTATTTATAAAATAATCTCTTATTAAAGGAACTAATGGGATTTTTTTCTTTTTAAGGAAGAGACATAAAAAATTTATATTTCAATCTATATTTATCTTTTAACACTGTGGATTTTCCGATGCGCAAAGAAGTCATTTGCCGAGGATCTGATGATGATTATTCTTTTTGTAGAGCTCTAAAGGGAGGTAAGCATTTAATCTATGTTACTCTCAGAATAAAATAGAATAGTTTATGAGAATGTTCTGAAAATTAAATACACTGAAAATGTGAAGTTCCTTTTCTGATAATAACTCTTTATTCCCATTTAAAATTTTTACTTTTAGCAGTTTGGACATTTTACAATTATGTTATTGAGTTATTATTAAGATGACACTTGTGTGTGTTTGCAGGATATTAGAATTTTTACCTTGTTCAAATAATATTTGTATATTTACCCTCGGTTATGGTTCTCTTTTTCTAAACATTACATTTATTATTTTGCATGGAAACTTACTAGATTTTGCTGCAGAGCTACCTTCAGTATTCTTTATACTCTACCTCAGAAGAAGGGAAGTGGAGACAAATTGGGAAGTTTGGTGGTACCCTAGGCTCAGAGTAATGAGGGCCTGCATTAAGACTGTGGTAATGGGGTTGAAATAGAGACTAGTAAGATTTATTGCCCCAATGAAGGGGAAAATTCTTAAAGATAATGAGTTCTGATCTGGGTATGTTGAGCTCAAGGTAATTTTGGAACATTCAAATAAACATGTCCATTTGGCAGCTGATATATGGGCCCAAAGCTGAGGACATTCTGATTTAAGAAACACAGATACTGCCCGACTGGTGTGGCTCAGTTGGTTGAGTGACCCATGCACCAAGAGGTCGCCTGTTCAATTCCCCATCAGAGCATGTGCCCAGGGTTATAGGCTTGATTCCCAGCAAGGGGTGTGCAGAAGGTAGCCGGTCCTTGTGATATTTCTTTCATCAATGTTTCTATCTCTCTCTCCCTCTACCTTCCTCTTTCTCTAAAATCAATTAAAAATATTTTTTTAAATCTTCCTAAATTAAAAAAAAAGAAACATCATGAGACCCTTGAAAGTTTGGGACTTGAATTAGTATCAGACATATCTGCTTTTAAAGTAACTGTCCTTCTCTATTATACCCTGCTGAAGGAGCACATATATTACTTGGGATAAAGCATATTAGCACTCGCTTGTTCATCACTCATTCACCGTTGGGACCAGTGGGCCTTAAAAGTTTGCATCCACTAATGCTGGTCCTGAGAGAGGCTTGTGGTGGGAGAGGAGCCCCAGGAGAATGGGAGCCAGGGGATAAGACTTATTATTTCTCTACAGTTTTGTTTGGGAGTGCTGCTGCCAGTGGTAGAAGTGTCAAAGGTGAATGCTGTACTACCAAATAAGTCACTTAGTGATGTCCTGTTCTTTGTGTTTTGTTTGCAGAGACTGTGAATACAACAGTGCGATTCTCCTACAGGGGCATCCTGTTCTCTAAGGTATTGTCTAGGAGTCATTTTGTCCTTTCTTAATCTTTGGCAGTAACAGATGTGTGAAGAATTTGAATAAGCAGTTTGCAATTTCAAAAATCGATATTCAAGCCCTGGCTGGTTTGGCTCAGTGGATAGAGCACTGACCCGCGGACTGGGGGAGTCCTGGGTTCTATTCTGGTCAGGGGCACGTGCCTGGTTGCTGACTTGATTCCCAGTGCGGGGTGTGCAGGAAGCAGTCGATCAGAGATTCTCTCTCATCATTGATGTTTCTGTCTCTCTCTCCCTCCCCTTCCTCTCTGAAATAAAAAAAATATATATTAAAAAAAATCGATAGTCAAGATTTTCCCCTACTTTTATTTGGTTGTGGGTGTTTTCCCATTTCTTATTTCTGAAGAATATGGAAATATAAAAAAGTTACATGAAAGAAAGCTCTTATTCACATCATGTTTTTCCTCTATTATACACGGCTAAAAGTAATGCAAATGCTCACTGTTAATACGTTGAATGACTTTTGGGTGAAAGCACTGTAAGAACTCCGTAGCTGCCTCTATGAATAATAACCATGTGCTTTTAGATGTTTGCATTAGATACCTAGCAATGAAAATTTTGCACATTTCACTTTGGGTGAATATTTAAAAATAAACTTTAACAATGCATATTCTTTACTGATTACAAATGGTATTTAGTGTTTGAAAATCTCATAGGTTAGTCTCAAAAATTGTTAAAAAACATTCTCATACTTGGGAAATAAATGAGTTTTGAGTCTGCTGAATTCAAAGACACAAAATTTCATCTCATTAGAAAACTGAGAAAATGATAACCAATCCAATTTAAATGACTTCCTCCTAGTAATAAAAAAAGTCTTTGAAAATAGAAGCACATAGCATTTTATATTACTTGTGTTTCTTATTCCTCATTTTAGGGAAAGTACAGATGTGTTGTGGAAGCCATCACTGGGAATACTGAAGAAATGCTCTTTTGTTTGAATTTTACCATCATACACCACCCTACTTTCAATTAGAATAAATCTAATGTGCCAGCCACTGAAGCAAGTCTTGCCCCAGAAGGGTGTCTTCAGCACAGAAGTTCTCCCACTGCAGACAGCTGATTCTCACAGCCAATTGGCCAGGAGGTCAATTCATCCCAGTGATAACTACAACAATCAAGGCTTAACTACAACAAGACTGTGCACAAAGCCCACAGAGGGGTGCACCAAGAGTGTCCACCTCAGGTAATTGGGGAGGCTGAGCCACTGGGCCCTATAGGATACCTAGCACACAAAGCCACTCTACCAACACAGGGAAGCAGCCAAAATGCGGAGACTAAGAAGCAGGTCACAAATGACAGAAATGGAGGAAAGCAAACGACTGGATATAGAGTTCAAAACCACGGTTATAAGGTTTTTCAAGAATTTTATGGAAACCGCCGATAAATTTAGTGAGACCCTGGAGGATATGAAAAAAGACCAACTAGAAATTAAGCATACACTGACTGAAATAAAGAATATTATACAGACTCCCAACAGCAGACAAGAGGATCCCAAGAATCAAGTCAAAGATTTGAAATACGGAGAATCGAAAAACACCCAACCAGAAAAGCAAAAAGAAAAAAGAATCCAAAAATATGAAGATAGTGTAAGGAGCCTCTGGGACAACTTCAAGCGTACCAACATCCGAATTATAGGGGTGCCAGAAAAAGAGAGAGGGCAAGATATTGAAAACCTATTTGAAGAAATAATGACAGAAAACTTCCCCTACCTGGTGAAAGAAATAGACTTACAAGTCCAGGAAGCGCAGAGAACCCCAAACAAAAGGAACCCAAAGAGGACCACACCAAGACACATCATAATTAAAATGCCAAGAGCATCCCGGGACCGGTTTGGCTCAGTGGATGGAGCGTCGGCCTGCGGACTGGGGGGTCCCGGGTTCGATTCCGGTCGAGGGCATGTGCCTGGGTTGCGGGCGCGTCCCCGGTGGGGGGTGTGCAGGAGGCAGCTGATCGATGTTTCTAGCTCTCTATCTCTCTCCCTTCCTCTCTGTAAAAAATCAATAAAATGTATTTTGAAAAAAAAAAAAGAAAAAAAAATGCCAAGAGCAAAAGACAAAGAGAGAATCTTAAAAGCAGCAAGAGAAAAAAAGTCAGTTACCTACAAGGGAGTACCCATACGACTGTCAGCTGATTTCTCAACAGAAACTTTGCAGGCCAGAAGAGAGTGGCAAGAAATATTCAAAGTGATGAATAGCAAGAACCTACAACCAAGATTACTTTATCCAGCAAAGCTATCATTCAGAATTGAAGGTCAGATAAAGAGCTTCACAGATAAGAAAAAGCTAAAGGAGTTCATCACCACCAAACCAGCATTATATGAAATGCTGAAAGGTATTCTTGAAGAAGAAGAAGAAGAAGAAGAAGAAGAAGAAGAAGAAGAAGAAGAAGAAGAAAATGGTAAAGATAAAAATTATGAACAGCAAATACATATCTATCAACAAGTGAATCTAAAAATCAAGTGAATAAATAATCTGATGAACAGAGTAAACTGGTGAATATAATAGAACCAGGGGCATGGAAAGGGAGTGGTCTGACAATTCTTGGGGGGAAAGGGGTGTGGGGGTGCAGGAAGAGACTGGACAAAAATCGTACACCTATGGATGAGGACAGTGGGAGGGGTAAGGGCAGAGGGTGGGGTGGGAACTGGGTGGAGGAGAACTATGGGGGGGAAAAAAGAGTTACAACTGTAATAATCTGAACAATAAAAATTTAATAAAAAAAAATCTAATGTGCCAGGACTGACCGCAGACCCTGAGTGATGGATGAATGGATTAGTCTGACACTCGTTTCTGTGAAAGAGAGGCTAAGGAACTGCTTGGCTATAGGCACCAAATAGCTTGCCTCCTTAGGCTTTTATTGTAATAACAGCTTGAACTCGAATTAACCTCCAGATACAATCAGCAGGGTAAGTATCCTTGAGAAAGTATATGCTTCTACAAGGTCGTGTCTAAAGACTAAACATAGACATTCCAGTAAAACACCCAGGGGCTCGGACTTATTTGGAAAAGTCAAGGCAGGGCTGCCGCCTTCGGCAAGGTTCCCCTAGAGGCCCCCGACCTTTCGGAGAATCCTCCTTACGGACTTTCCAACCAAGTCTCGTGCTTCCCCACAAAGTATATTTTTATTTTTCAAAGGTTTTATTCTTCACTTAATTATTTTTTTTGCACAGTGTATTAGTTTGCTAGGGCTGCCATAACAAATACCACAGAGTGGGTAGCCTAAACAATAGAGATTTATTTTCTCACAGTTCTGGAGGCCAGAAATCTGAAGTCAGTGTTGGTGGATTTGGTTCCTTCTGAGGCCTCTCTCTCTCTTTCTTTTTTATTTTATTATTTTTTTAAATTTAAATTCTTTATTGTTTAAAGTATTACATACTAGTATGTATCCTTTTCCCACCATTGACCTCTCCTCAGCCACTCCCACCCCCCAGCACATGCCCTCACCCCTCTACCATCCGTGTCCATTGGTTATGCTTATATGCATGCATACAAATCCTCTGGTTGATCTCTTACCCCATCCTTCTTACCCTCCCCTGCTTTTCCTTTGAGGTTTGACAGACTGTTCGATGCTTCTGTGTCTCCGGGTCTATTTTTGTTCATCAGTTTATGTTGTTCATTATATTCCACAAATGAGTGAGATCTTGTGATATTTATCTTTCTCCGACTGGCTTATTTAGCTTAGCATAATGCTCTCCAGGTCCGTCCATGCTGATGCAAATGGTAGAAGTTCCTTCCTTTTAACAGCAGTGTAGTATTCCATTGTGTAGATTTGCCAAAGTTTTTTAATCCACTCATCTGGTGATGGGCACTTAGGCTGTTTCCAAATCTTAGCTATTGTAAATTGTGCTGCTATGAACATAGGGGTGCATATATCCTTTCTGATTGGTGTTTCTGATTTCTTGGGATATATTCCTAGGAGTGGGATCACTGGGTCAAATGGGAGTTCCATTTTTAAATTTTTGGGGAAACTCCATACTGTTTTCCACAGTGGCTGCACCAGTGATGCCTCTCTCTTTAGATTGTAGATAATCTCTCCATGTCTTCACACGGAGACATGTGTGTGTGTGTTAATCTCCTCTTCTTTTAAGGACACCAGTCATATTAGATTAGGGTCCACCTATATGACCTTAGTCACCTTTTAAAGACCGTATCTCCAAATCCAGACACACTTTGAGGTACTGTGGGATAGGGCTTCAGCATATGATTTGGGGGGCGGGGGCATGATTCAGCCCATAAAACACAGGTAATGAAATCTCTTGAACTGGCCCACCTTTCTCCGTTTCCTGCCTCTGCTCTGGGGCAGGTGACAGCATTGCCTCCTGGCTGATCTTCCTGCAGCTGGCCAGGGCCTCAGGCCAAATATTCTCCACAAAGGCAGTTCCTGCTTTCAAAATACAGGCCCAGTCACAAGGCCAATGGAACACGATGAAAAAAGAACAAATAAGGGCCTTCCTGGGCTTTTGATTCCTTTGGGATAAAGCTGGCATCGTTGGAGGGCCTGCTGGGCCTAATCCATCCTTTCCCTTTCTAGCTGCATCTCCCTCTCCTTGCTGTCTGTGTTCCAGAATATGCCACCGTCCCTCCCACTCCAGAGCCTTTGTCCACACAGTTTCTTTTATTGATTTATTTTTATTAAATTTATTGGGGTAACTGCTTAATAGGATCATATAGGTTTAAGGTGTGGATCTATGTTACAAGATCTGTATATTGCACTGCACACCCACCACCCAAAGTCAAATCATCTTCAGAGACCATATATTAGGCCTTCTTCATCCCCCAGACATCACTCTTTCAATTCTTGTTTATTACTGGTCTTTCATTGCTCAGAAAGAGTTAATGACTTAAAAAAAAAAGAGTTAATGACTTGTAAAAATATTCCTTAGATATTAGCCTTGTGTTCTCTCTGTTGGAGTCGATTAGGGCTTTTAGCATAATTGCTCTTTGACTGTCTTCACTGTCCTAACTGGCCTTGTGGATCTCAGATTTCAGTTCGGCCCCTGCGTCCCATATTAAGAAAACAAAAGTTTATGGAGCCAAACTTTTCCCTGCACCCGAACAATTTCATGATCTCATATTTCTCCTCTCAGCTCTCTGCCCTGTTCAAATAATTGGTTTCACCCTCCGTTGAGCTTTACAAGAATTGTTCCTGGGGATTTCCATGCTGCCTGTGGAAGAGTAAATTTCATTTGTGAAGTTATCAAGTAATTTGCAGCTATTACATTGTGCTACCTCTCAGCAGTTATTTTAAAATGACACCCTTTGTTCTTTGTAGTTCTCATCTGTCCTCTAGTAAGTAAATGTAATTGTTTTTAGGAACTTCTTGAGCTATAATTTAAAGAAGTCCTGAAAATAGCACTTCTTTTATTCTGAGTAGTTTGCAGCACCACCATAAGCCTATTATGGAAAACCCCACGGTGGGGGGAAATAGCTGTTTCCCTCACATTGATTGTTTTAGGGATTGAGAAAAGGGCATGATTGTGTTGGTTTACTTGGTGGCCCTGTGCAGCCGAGGCTGAGATTCCTGGACTGCAGCGCTGCAGAGAGAGCTGCGGGGGCCAGTTTTCAGATGAGCCCGAGGCCCAGATTCCCAAAAGCCAGGGCTGTTCTCCCTGAGACTGACCCCTGGAGGCCAGAGGTGCAGGTCAGTCTTCCACTTCCTCCCGCAGAGCTGTGTCAGTGTACACCTGTCCCGATATCACTTTAAGATGCACACAACTGGAAGCTTTAAGATGACTAACTTGCTTTTGCTATTTTTTAATTTGAAATTGTTCTTCCTAGGGTGTCGACAAATTAAAAAACAACAACAGGTAGAAGGGTCTGCTAGCAGTTCTCTAATTAAAACTTCTTTTTTCATTTTAAAATGAGAACTTCTCCTTAGATTAATAAAAATCTCTGCTGGCCTGGCCAGCATGGCTCAGTGGTTGAGCATCAATCTATGAACCAGGAGGGCAGGGTTTGATTCTAGGTTGGGGCACATGCCCGGGTTGGGGGCTCGATCCCCAGTGTGGGGTGTGCGGGAGGCAGCCAATCAATGATTCTCTTTCATCATTGATGTTTCTATCTCTTTCTCCCTCTCTGAATCAATAAAAATATATATTAAAAAAATCTTTGCTGGC